ACATCTTTTCGCACATGCCAGGGTTGATCTGGCTCATTTGAGATCGCTGTCGAACTTTAAAGCCCTTCTCCTTGAGGTAGTCGGCTGTCTGTATGCTGCGGAGACGCGTCGAAGTCCATACAGTGAGGGGACGCAGCGGAATGTCGGCGCCACCTTGGTCGATGATAGCCTGGCGGTCCTGTTCCCGATGCTTGAGCAGAGTCTCCGTCATCTTGAGAGCGTACGCCTGGCCATCTTCCGAAAGCGGTGCATCAGCCCTGTATGAATCTTCCTGGGTCGCAGTACCAGCACGGACGAAGAAGGTGGTCCGCGACTTGATGTGGAGATTTGTCAAGTAGAAGACAATCCGGTGGGAGATGTAGCTGAAGTTGACATTGTTGTAGAAGAAGGACTGGCCGGCGTTGATCATCTTGATGTAGTTCAGCTCCTGTTCACTCATGGTTTCGAAGACGGGAATCTTGGTCTCAATGCGCCGAAGATACAGTTGAGCAGCCTCCATAGGGTCCATGCCATGGAACTAGATCAGTTTAGTCTTTTTCATCAGGCTAATGGGCCATCGGTATACTCACGTCGGGTGAAGAGATCTTGACATTGCGGGCATTCTCCTTGAGGATCCGGTCGTCATCGACATACGACTCTAGAAAGAGAGTCTTTTCCCCATGTCAGCTTACGGCTGTCAAAGTCGAGTCATACACCAGAAGGGGAGATCACTGACTTGAACGTCATGCTTCGCAAATTCCTTAGCCAACGATCGCCGGCCACTAGCGGTAGGGTTGACAGCATCATATATAGCGACCTGCCCGTTTTCATGATTTAGCCAAGAATATATGTCCTCACGGCACTTCTTCAAGATTTTCTGTCGAAGCATGACAGAGGCCGGCGAGGCGTTCGGGAAGAAGTAATCCTGCGGGACTGTTCCTCCCTCGCCGACCGTGGCTCGACGATAATCTCCCAGATGGAAGATTCGAGTCTTGACGCCAAGCCTACGGACGTGTGAGTATAGGCCACAAGGACGCCCAGAGGTTGAACGACTTACCACTGTAGGTAGCGCGACATGGACACCGATATGTGGCTGATCCGTGTTAGTCGGAGAGAAGAGTAGTAACCGTTTCAAAACACGCACGTTTTTCCACGTGCCGGGAGGCCGACCATCACGATCGCAATACGACCGGAGTGGAAGAGCCTCCCGGACATGGTGCTGTAGAGCTGCGCAGGTGCCAAGGCCGACTTGTCATGCTGGACATCGTGGATGCCATCGATGAAGGTAGAGCTCTTCCGGCGATAGCGAGGCGCATTTGCCGCTATCTCGGCAGTGCTGCTAACGTTAGCTGCTTTCTTGATCGGAATAAAGATCTGAGGGACTCTAGGAAGAGGTAAAACTACGAAGGTAGATGTGCTGTCTCTAGACTCTATAGCCAGGAAAACAGCTACGTTTTACCTGGGGGTCAGCTGAGCAGTAAACAGCAAATCGAAAGACTACGAGAGCGTCCTACTATCATCGGAGCGAACCAGTCACTTACAGCAGAGTATCCATCTTTTTTTGGGGTCTGGATGCCTTGTAAGCATGAGCTGGTCACCACCCTGCTAGAAACGTGTAATCCGACTCGGGAACCTGCACCTCTCAGACCCTATGACGGCGACTATAACCGACCAGTTGGATCGTGCTGCGCTGTAAAGTCGCAGATTGCAAGATAACAACTGAGATGGTCTTTGTCGAATAGTAGCCTAAAATATGCCAGTAACCCACCTAAGCGAGGGCAGACATGTGTTTAGTGTTGCGTATCCTAAGGGGCCCGCAGCTATTCTTTAGCCTATGCGTCCGGGCAAGCCGATCTCGAAGTTGCTGTATTGATTAGCCCCAGGGCATCATATAAACTCATGAGAGGAAATTCACTTTGGAGGCGCGGTTGCTGTGAAAAAGGTGAGCAAAAAATCGCTGGGGCGCAATGACGTTCAAGGTGGCAAATAACCTCGGATGCGGCTGGGATTGCTTGTCGAAGGCGGTCTTGAAATGACGCAAAAAATGGTCGCTGACGGGGTGCAGGCGAAAGCTTTCTTAGGGTGAATCCAGGGGGAGGACTTGGAGTCTAAGACAGAGCAGTGTGTGCTCCGAGCAGTGGCAAAGTCTGTCGTTCTCCAAAATGCTCCTTCCTTCCTTCCCAACTCCCAGTGGCCGTGTTTCGCTGCTGCCCGCTTGAAGGAGCCTTGTTCCTCAAACGGCGAGTAAGGTTGGGGGAGGGCCTTCTCGTTCACGGTCCCCACCGCCTCGCGTATCCGTCAGGCCGGGAGAGAACTGAGGGCTTAGGCGTGCAAGACCGCCTGGTTCGGGTTGAATAAATGCTCGAGGAGAAGAGGCCGCGAATACCACAGCGTCTGAGGGCCTTGGCCTGGAACCTGCCTTTTGGGCTATTCAAATTCGAGGAAGCGATAATTATCGGTCCAAAGGTCGGGCGGCTTGCAAGAAAGTCGGAGCGGGATGGGTGGTATTGGTAGACCTCGGAAGCCGCCAGGCGTGCACCCGGTCCGTCGTTCTCATTGAACGCACCCGGTTGGGCACAGGTAGAGCGAGTGGGGGGCACTACGGTATGTCGCACCCAAGCTTGGCTAACAAAACAGAGCAAGCTTTGGTGGCTCCGTTGCGGGCTCTATGTATATGTACTGCTTTGCGTCCAGCAGCAGAGGCATTGGCCCACACGCTGCGCACTACTGAGGGCATGACGACGAGAGCATCGACGCTAGCCGGGAGTCTCGGGCCTCGCCCTATCCGGCCCTCGCGCTACTCTTGTCTTCCCTCGGCGTCCGCTTAGACGGAAGCTATAAAGGATTGCGGGAAGGAGCTCTCAGAAGGCGGAGGAGGAGCATGCCATGCTCCATAAATACACTTACGGTAACCGGCCCTTGATCCACTCATGTGTCGCCGTCGAGCGTTGCAATTCAACTACCACGTAGAAAGACGGCCAGAACCAAAAGGGTGGAGGATTAGATTTGGGTGCAACAACCGACCATGCCGGCAGTTCCCGGCTGGGAAGCCTTAGCTGTAACTGCACCCACGTACAAACACACGGGTGCATGTATGTACAATACTCGGCCGCGGGGGGCGTAAGATTTAGCAAGGATTAGATGCTCGGTGTCATGTTTCTCCCACTCCGGTGAGTGCACCTTTGGAAGGGCGAAGCTTGGACCAAGTAACGCCAGGCGGTCCACTCGTTCGCGTGAGAATGACGACCCAGTCTGTGTGGTCTTAGCTAGCTCCCGCGAAATTTTTGGTTTTCCAGCTTTCGATCCTCACGACCTGGCGAAAAAAAACCTTCAGACCGCATCAAGCCACGCTGCGCTCCGGGGCTTGGGACATTCTCGAACGGCCTGCTGTCTTTTTTCTATTTCTTTCTTTCATTA